TGAGTGAGTGAGTGAGTGAGTGAGTGAGTGAGTGAGTGAGTGAGTGAATGGTTGTTTGTCTCATTTCTCTATGTGTCCCTGTGATGGACTGGAAACCTGTCCAGGGTGTCCCCCACTTCTCGCACCTTAATTGCTGGACACGGGCACCAGCGACTCCAGCGACCCACAAAAGAAGAAGCGGGTAAAGATAATGGATGGGTGGTTTTCATGACTTTGCATTGAGAACCTTTAAACTATATGAATTTGATGCAAACTAAAACAAAATATGCAAATTTACAACCTCTTCATGTTTTTTTGTTTTTTTTCTTTAAAAAAAAAAAAAAAAAAAAAAAAAAAAAAACCTCTTCATGTTAACAGATGAGGATGGTTTCATCCAGGTGAATTGAGTGGGGATTCCCTGTTGGACGTGTAGGTGACGTGCAGCTGGGAGGATGGATAATGACATTCAGCCTGGTGTCAAAACACAGTAATCAGCTGAACATGAGCTGAAGCATGACACCAGAACATCCCTTAGAGCTGCTCTGGACTCTGCGAGGATTTGCGTGTATTTTATCTGTGACAGTGACTGAGCTCAAAGCAGAGCAGGTCCCAATCACTTTACAAGAGAGGAAAACAGATGACTACACAGAGGCTGATCTTTTCGGGAAGCTAAGCGAATGCTCGAAGTGGGGAGGTGGGGAGGGGTGCAGAGTGTCCCAGCATCACATATGGATGAAACCACAGAGAAACAACACAAAGAGGAACAACAGACACGTGAGAAATGTCTTTCTAAAAGCAGTTACATCGAGCGTGGCTCAGGGTTCCTGATGGTCGGAGGAGATGATGTCTGAGGCATGAAAACAACAGGACGGGGTATGTTTTCCTCGCTCGGCCGGAGACACACTGTGGCGTGAGAGACGGACGATGGACATCAGCAAGACGTGGACGCGTGAGGATGACACACACAGTGATAGATCAAATCAGAAACGTTACCATACTGCTTTTAATCCAACATTTGCAGTGCCATCGCAAGTCTGTCTTCGAGGCCCATCCTCCTCTTCCTCCCTCTTCCTCCTCCTCCCTCTGTGCTCACCAAAAAGGAGCACTCTCCTCCTCCTCAAATACAGTATCGGTACCCCCCCACCAGCCACTGTCAGGCGGGCTATCACCTCTCTGGATCCTACTGCTCCATTGTTGATGCCATCGATGTATGCAGCCTCAGTCCCCCTCTCTCCCTGATCTATTTTCCTCCCTTTCGCTCCCCCTCCTTTGTGTCATATGTTGCCTCCTCCACCCCCTCCCTCCCTCTGGATGGATGTGTGAGAGCTCAGGGACAGATGGGTGGAGGGGAGTGGGAGAGATTGGCGCAGGCGTGCAGGTGCTCCTGTGTTATTATGGTAGAGAGGCTAAAGAGGGAGGGAGGGAGTGTTGCAGTTACAGCACACACACGTGCACGCACACACATGCACGCACACACTAAGCCTTCAACACAGAGCCAGCATGTGCTGATGTGCAACTGCACTGGTGTGCTGCCAAAGTGCACAGCAGCTCTGATGTGACCGATTTTAGACTCTTTTTGGGGGGTGCTCAAGCACCCCTAGTTTTAATTCAGCACCCCCAAAAAATAAAGAAACCATCATTAAGGTTTTGTAAGGAAACTCAGTTCTCAAACCGTAGATTCACCAAAATGTTTAATAAATTTGAAATAAATATGGAATAAATTATGACAGTCTTAAACCGGCCAGTAAACCCCATGATTTTATTTGTTGTTGCACGAGTCGGTTCCTCTATGCCGCCTGTCAATCAATCCAGTGCGCTCGGCAGCAACTGACCAATCAGCGACTTTAATTTGTCCTGAAGGTAAACGCCCCTTACCTCCAGGAGCTCCACCCCTTTTTCCTCCGACATCATTGTCAGGGCTTTGCATTACAAACTCTTTGCAGTCATAGGCTAATGGTTAAATTAAAGGTTAATGCTTGAAGCTAGCTGTGCTTTGTTTTGTGTGTTTTATATGTAGATATATGTTGTAACTTCTGGTTGCATAAGTTTAGTCTTTGTTATGATCCTTTAAAAGTCCTATATGTGACTGGATACCTCGTTTATGGTCATGCCACTCTGAACATGTCTGAGCTTGGAAGCTAAGCAAGGTCAGGCCTGGCTAGTACTTGGATGGGAGTCAATACCAGGTGCTGTCAGCTTTTGCACTTCTCAAAAACCGCACCATGGGGAGCCATTGTCAGTACTCGGGGCGAAGCACCCCTAAAGGTCAGATCCTAGAATTGCCCATGGTGCTGACTCCCTCTTTCTTCACAGAAAAAGGAAAGGATCCCAACAATCAGGGATCCGAATCAGTGACTCTGTGCTTCTTTAACTTGTGGTGTTCCTGTTCAGGCCGGAGTGTCAGCGTGTGCTTTGGGGAGCGATGAGAAGAGATTAGAACAAGCTTTCATAGTCAGGTAAACTTGATATTACAGAGACACTCGAGGTGTTTCTGAAACGGTGGTGCAGCTGCTGCAGAAACAGATCTTGTTAAAGCAATAGAAATCTGGAAAAATAAATGTTTTTAGGTATAGTTCTGTGGACATGTTATGAACAATGACTATCTTACCTGTTGTAGATAGCTCTTTAAATGTCCCCTCACTCACTACACCAGGGTCAATGTAGGTTATGTAGAGCAGGGGTGTCCAATCCTGGTCCTGAGAGCCAGGCTTGGACACCCGAGATGTAGGAAACGGGAACAGTGTGGTGTTTTCATACTTCATATGTATCCACCAAGTGTTTACAGTCAGTTGTTACAAAAATAAATACCGGTAAGCTGTAATTAGCGCTCTAGTTAGTTAGTCTATCAGTTACATGCCTGAATTGGAGGGGATGAACAGCACGATTCTTTTCTGTCACACTTTTTTGTTGTATGCTAGTATCTAATTACACAAGCATGGATAGCAGCTCTTACTACAACCTCCTACAATTTAGAATTATGACGCTTACAAAATACTTTTACACAGAACAGATGTTTTTGAAGTTGTGGTATCTGTGCAAGTAATAAACACAAACGAGAGACGTCTACAAAATTAAAAGCATTTCAATAAGTCTGAAATATTGACCAGCGGATATTAGCATTAGCCTTGATTAGCATGCTGTCTTGGCTCTGGCTACAATGCATTATGGTCTATTTCTGCTGAATGTAGTGTCCAACTTCTCTGCAGTACTTTTACTGAACTGTTTGACAAGATTTTAGGGCCTGTATTAAAGTTTTGAACATCACTACAAAATGGCCGACTCACTATATGTAACAATTGAATAAGTGGACAATAGGAATGCAGCCTTTGGCTAAACTGATGAGCTAATGGCTAGTCTGAGCAGCTAGCTGTAGCACTTCAGATTAGGCCTGTCACGATAAACAATAAATCAATTAAGCGCATGATAAATGAAAATTATCAACCTCATTTTCATTTATCGGCTTTATCGTTTCTTCGTGTCTCTCTCTTTTTACTGAAGACACTGGATGACAAAAAGCTCAACTCTGCTCTTCACTGACCCCTCCCTTTCTCTTTTCTCTTTAAAATCTGTTTTAACCGTCCAAAATTGCGTTTTTGGATCGTTAAAAACAGTTAACCTGAGAAGCTAAGCTATGCTAACAGGCCGACCTCGGGAAAAAAACTTCCATCTTGTCAAAGCTCCAAAATTCACGGTTGAAACCTGTGCCTTCGTCTAAAAAGTTGTTTTTCTCAGAAAAAAAAAAAAAAAGCTGAAAACTTGTTTAATGATTTTTTATTAAAAGCTTTGTGTGACAAATGCTATGTTAAAGAGCTCACACCGCGCTTCCGCCACTTTGAGAACCGAAAAACAGGAACGAGAGACAGCCCATGTCATGTCAAGGGGCCTCCCTCCCATTTTTCTTAGACACACTGCTCGTTCCCTCACTATCCATCCTTTGGTTCAGTCTTATAATACCATCAGGTGGCTGGAAAAAGGTACTACACGCAAAACAAACTAAAAATTTCTACTTAAATTTGACGATCATTACTAATTATTGTCAAATTTTAAAGAATATTACCGTTTATCGCAATAATTTCTGAGACAGTTAATCGCCCAGCTAAATTTGTTATTGTGACAGGCCTACTTCAGATGTAGCATGAAAATCTTTGGGAAGGAATATCATCACATTTTTGCTGAAAATAAACTGTAAAACGGAATGCAGTGCAAAAGTTTGTAAAACAAGTGCATTAGAAATTCAAACTGAGGTAATCCAAAAAACTATCTACAGCAGGTAAGACATTAACTTTTCATAAACCTTTCCAAAGAACCACACTTCAAAAGTTGTGAGCTTTTTCTTCTCTCATGATGGCGTCATATTCAACTTTTTAAAATGTACGTAGAACTCCTTAAAGGAACGTGTAGCTCCCTTCACAACATCACAGACACAGGTGATTCTTTGCAACAGGCGTTTATTGCAGGCATGAAGCTTCAGTATGACATTTTGTCCACTTTCACCGTCATATATCCACACTGTAACTTCTTAACACATTAAAGCCAGGCTACAAATGCTGTAAGAACTAATAAAGTAAAATAAAATACACAAATACAAAAGGATATCACTGACCTGCACAATATATAATGAGACAAATAAATATAATTAAATAAAATTAAGACAAATACCTCGTTGGCTGCCTGTCATGAAAAGAGGTTTTTTAGTCTTTAGAAGTCACTTTGGCATCACTTTCCATCTTTAAACATCATTTAGCTTAGCTTTCACAGCACAGCAGGCTCTGTCTCTCTCTCTCTCTGCTCACACACTAGACGCTTCTCCCGCGTTGTAAGGAGCGCCAAGTTCACGTGGGACTTACATTACTGAGAGTGACATCATCTTAAAGTAACGGATCACATTTTCTGCCCCATTGAAATTAAATAAGATTTTTTTTTACTTAAATTTACACAAGTATGAAATGTGTTTTATCTGTTTAAAGATGTCATGAAGTTATTTATGCAACATGAACCTTCGTTAAGCAACAACACTTATCCACAACTTCTCCTCCTCCACCATAACCCTCAGAACTGGCTCCCCTCAGGGCTGTGTGCTGAGCCCTCTCCTGTTCACTCTGCTCACGTACGACTGTGCACCGAGTCCGACCCATCCAGGCTGCCATATTGTAAAGTTTGCAGATGATACAGCGGTGGTGGGATGCATCACAAACAACGAGTACAGGCAAGAGGTGGAACACCTGGAGAGTTGGTACAGGAAGAACAACCTTCACATCAATGTGAAGAAGATGGTTGTGGATTTCAGACGGAACAAGCCCCCCCACCCCACCCCAAAAGCATAGGACGATCTACGGTGGAAGTGGTCTCCAGCTACAAGTACTTGGGTGTGCATCTGAACGACAACCTCAGCTGGGGCAACAACACCACCAGCCTGATCAAGAAAGCTCATCAGAGTCTCTACTTCCTCAGGCGGCTGAGACGAGCTGGTCTGGGAAGCTCAGTCCTCACCTCCTTCTACAGGTGTGCAGTGGAGAACATTCTGTGCTCCAGCATCAACGTGTGGCATGGAGGCTGCACAGCTGCAGAAAGAAAAGCTTTGAAGAGAGTGGTGAAGGCTGCACAGAAGTCTGTTGGAGTCAGCCTCACCACCATCACAGACCTACACCTCCAGATGCAGGAAGAGAGCCACCTGCATCACGAAGGACCCCACTCACCCAGCACACACACTTTTTGCCCCACTCCCCTCAGGCAGGAGGTTGAGGAGCATTAGGTGTAGAACCACTAGACTGAGGAACAGCTTCTACCCTGAGGCTGTCAGACTCATGAATCTCTAACCAGGAGAATCACATCATGTTGCTGCTGATCTGTTTCATGTTGATGTGTTCATGTGTGCTCATCTGCTCACACAGACTCATGTTCGTGCTGCTGTTCGGCGTATTGTTTTTGTGCTATTAGTGCTTAGTATATTTTTAGTTAACGTTGTTTTTAGTTCGTATCTTTGATCTTGTTACTGTTTTTCTTTTACATTTTATACTTTTGTTGAATGTAACTGGGACCCTGTGTACACAATTTTGTTCCACCACATGTGGTGCGTATGACAAATAAAGAACCTTGAATCCTTGAATACGTGTCTCACCCGCATCGCATGTCAGAATTTGAGACAACGGCTAGCACTGAGTTTGAGACGACTCTCATTTACCATCACACCAAATTTTAGCTCAATATCTGCAAATATGAATGAGTTATAAACATTTTTGTGTTTGCTGATTTGATTATCTGTGGCAGCCATCTTGAACTGAACTGACTAAAAGGTAATCAGTTGTTGATGCACATTCAGCGATGACTTCACAATACCTATTTATGAGTAATTTTATAGGTTGCATGTTTTAATTTTGTGCAGAAACAAGGTCAGTGACAAAAGTCAAAGTCACAAGAAAATACTTTAAGAAATTTTATTTCAATTTAAATTTGACACAATTAAATCGACAAGGCATGACACTTAGCAATAAATAAAGACATATTTATAAAACACGTGCACAAGCATCTATTAACAGAAGTGCATTTTGTAGTTTGGGGGGGTGTTCTTTTGTGTGTGTTTTCAGTGGTGAACATTTCAAAGCCGCCAGTGTGTGAAAGGATTACCGTTACAAAAACCGTGTCTGTTATCATCCAGATTATCTGTAGCAGCAGGATTTATCAGAACACACAAACAAACTACTCTTTGTCTCATAAGTTGCACTTTGCACTCAAATAGAAAACAATAAAGTGCGCGGCTTTTAATAACACACCGAGAACACTTTCATCTGATCGTCCTTTATGAAGCTTAAAATACTAAAATTGCTGCACCGGTGTAACACCGGCACCAGCCAGGTGGTGCAACTTAAAACACCACCTTTGGGTTCATGTGCAATACTGCAAGGGTTTTATTTTTTATGCTACTTGACTATATTCAGCTCTATCTATACATTTCTGTTATATTTCCTATTGATACGTGCACCAGAGACATGGTGCTATAAACGTAACTGGTCTGGGCAGGGCGGCTGTGGAGGATTTAAAGATCAGTTTCACACAGCAGAAAGGATTGAATGGAAAAGGATGAGTTGGCACTTCTGTCGTTTAGGATCTACGCAAAGCAACTGCACATTCAAGACATCCCAACTCCTCAAGATTTCTCCTAAATGAGTAGAACATTAAAAAAAGAGTCTTAGTCCTTGAAAGAAAACCCCTGTGGATTTAAACAAAGGAGACAAGTCTTCAGTTTTCCAGCTTTGCTGGTGAAACTTGAGATTTAATAACAGTTCAGGTGTGAACCCGTCTCTTCTTCGTCCTTTCAAGTGGTTGGACGTTCCCACAGAGCTGAGAATCGACAGTGTTTCAGGAGCTGTAGCTAAAGTCAGTCAGCACTTTGGCAAGCCCTCAATCCAAATGAGTATAAATCCACTGATTCCTGGGATTAGTGTTAATCTTCTCCGCTCAAATGTCCCCTTCTTAACCACTGGTGGGAAAACCCTCCACCAAACTCCTCACATACAGTACCCTAATTAACCGTATACTGTCTTGTTTTAGGATGATTCCTCGTGCTGGGAGTTGGATATCTGACTCCCGAGGGAGGGACTGCTTGTGGTGAGGTCCTCTTGGAGCTTTGGCACCGTCGTGGTAGATATCACTCCCCGGATTTCTGCGGCAGCCAAACCACTCGCCTTTTAGTCTGATAGAAATCTGTTGGGATAAAGAGGAGTGATTAACTCAGTGATAACTCACAGAAAGTGACAAATGTCCCACAGGAATGGACAAACGTGCACCTGTGATGTTTGTCTGTTTCCTCTTCAGTCCTGTTCGGTCTTCCTCCTTCCGCTGTGTTTTCTCCATGTCTTCCAGGTCCAGAGTGCGTTTCTCTGGCATGTGGGGGATGTTCTCCTTCTCACTCTCTGGCGGCAGGCCCACCCTTCCTCTTTTGGTTGAACCCACTGATCTCGTTGCCCTTTGACCCCGTGCCTGCCCAACACTAAGTCTGCAGGATCTGTAGAGCAGTGGCACCCTGGTATCTGTGACGCCCTCCCACTGGAAGTCACCGCTCTCCAGAGGCTTGCCTGAGACAAAGTCGAAGCCCCAGCGTTTGGTCGCTTCCTCCAGGTCTTGACTCAGGGCGGCCCGGTATTCCACCTGGAGCTGTTCTCGGTCCACTGGGCCAAACAGGTTTCTTCGGGTGGGCCCACTTCTCCCCAAGGCGCTCGGGACCCGCTTTTGAGTTGTAGCCATGACTCTGCACTAAAATGAAAACAGATAAATCTTCTGGTTAGTTTGGACAAGCACAATCACTGCAGCCACTCTTTCCTTACGTCCTAAAACAAAGTTTACAGAAATTTGTAGCTTTGTCAGCCAGTACTGTTGAAATCTTGCTTTAGGAACCTAAAGAACACTAACAATCAATCCATTTTTTAAACTCCTGTCCTGCCCCAGTTGTAAAATCAAACACTCACCATGGTTCCAGTCAGTTTAACGCCGCCTCAGTGAACAAGTAGTCTGTCTGCAGCAGCGCTCTGAGTTTTATAAGGCAGAGAGCAGCCAGTGAGTCACTGAGCTTCTCTGTAAAACACTGGTATATGCCTGGACATAATCTCTGACAGACATGTAAGGACAAGTCCTCTGCTCTGCTTGTTTGGTGTAAACTCACAGATTAGCCACAAGGTGGCAGTCTCACCCCAGCTGCACACAGTGAGGTGCTGATTGAAAACCAGAGGTTGTTCATATAAAACAACAGCTCTGAGATTTAAAACTGAATCTAGAGCATCAGTCAAAGTCTTGACTCGTTTGCGGAACAACTGCAGGAAGTAAAAAGTCATTACGGTTGCTCGGGAAGGAAACGTTCGAGGAAACCTATCCCAGCCCACCCCAATGATCCACTTACAGCAGGAAAAATGAGGAAACAAATTAAATTTGTTATAAATGATTAGGTAGACAATGATTCATCATACAGAAGCTGATGTGGTGTTCTGCTGATGACAAACAGGAGCAGCTCAGACACATCAGCTTCAGTCTTACTGATAATTTTAATAAAATACCAGTTTATTTGTGTTGTAAAGATAAATAGTCAGATGAGAAGCCTTTCATAACATTTGACTTGACTGTGGGGCACATTACAGAAGAATAGTCTGAGTTATTTGTTAAAAAGAATGCATTTCATTTATTATCAGCTGTTCTCAAAGGTTCTTTAAAGTTTATTTCCTTCGATGTTTTGGCTCGTAAGATCATTTTGAGAATTAATATTGTTAGTAAAGGTTTCTTTTATATATATTTATGTGTCAGGATGGTTTTTGTACACGAGGAAAACTTCCATCTTTTGATTTTTAGGTCACTTGACAGGAACAAAAATCATTTGTTAGACATCTTAAGGTTCCAGTGTGAGAAGATAAAGGATCCTTAAGGGATTTTTGGACATTTTGAATTTATTCTAATAACGATTTCACCAAACAGCAAGCTGAAATAAAGTGGTGAAAAAGTTGTTTTAAATACACGTGCTCCTGTGCCTTACACAAGAGTGCAAAGGTCACGGAGGGTCTCATAGTCAGGAGCCATTTGAACCAAGAAAGCTTCGCTCCATCTCCTTCCTCCTCCCACCTCCCCTCCTGTACGTCAGATGGGAGGAGGAGGAGGCGGCTGGGAGGTGCGGAGTGATTCAAGCTGTGGCGGGAGAACAGGTCATGCGTGAGCTTATGGGACCCTGCCCATCTCTGCTGCTCCACGTGAGTCAGGATCTCATGTCAAACTGTGCTGTCACTGTCTGGAGTCAGGCATGACTCACTCACTCTCTCTCTCTCTCTCTCTCTCTCTCTCTCTCTCTCTCTCTCTCTC